GAGGCGCTCCAGAAAAGAGCGCGCGGCTACTGAGAAGAAAGAGGGGGACATATATATATATATATATATGGCAGTCCCATGGGTTGTGTCTAGGATTAGGTACCTGAAGTTGGTTCGTACCTCGGACGATGGGTACGGACGATGGGTACCTGTTTTGAGTGGGCTCCAGGTACGGCTCCAGGTACGTCGGGTTCAGGTATACAAGTCCAGTCTGACCCAGATCCAAACCTGGTCCTGAATAAATCATTGAGTAGTATTTCATGAGGTTTTTGAGTTGAGATAGGCCCCCCAAAATGTGATCCGGCTCCTGGCCCGCCCCATACCTGGAACTTCGTTACGGCAATAATAATTGCCGTTTTCATGAAACGTCGCCTTTTTCTTTCTGCGGCGTTCTTCCATATTGATCTCATAGGGACGGCGTTCCTTGATGAACTGCGGCAGTTTCGGTCAGTTGACGGCAATTTTGGTCCACACATCCATGCGCCTCAAAGAGTCATTTCGTTTTAGTTTTAGTGCAGGCGAGTATGAACACATTGTAGGGTCTTGCTTGAAAGGCAACTGAACGTAAAAGGCGTCTTATTATATCAGCAAACTCGCATAGTCATGTGAAGTGGAAAGGGCAGCTGATGGAAGTGTCACATGCTGGGTTTTCGTCGGTTTTCGCGGGTAACTCGACCTCTTGTGCGGCGTTGCAGAAGATTTTGCATTTAAAGTTACGGCGTTCTTACCCGTACTTGCGGCGTTTTTCCCCGTACTTACGGCGTTTTTCCCCGTACTTACGGCGTTTTCCCCCTACTTACGGCGTCGTTCCCTTACCCTGTCTAGGGTCACTCAAGGTGGCAGCAAGACTTGTCACAAGCGATCCTTTCAGCCATTGCATGATCAAAATGTGAACAAATCCTGCCGTGATGTCAATCGAGAGCTTAGACAAGGGCTGCAACATCTTGAGAAGTGCTACCATGAGGCTTGAAAACGATGAGCTCTACTTACAAGTGAAAAAGGAGAAGGCAATTTCAGGGTATGGACGGACCAAAACAATATCCTCTTTGGTAGATCAAACAAAACGGCGATTCTTCTTTTGTGACGGCGTTTTCACTTCTCTGACGGCGTTTTCACTTTCCAGGGATTGAGCTACGGCAGAAAAAAATGAGTTACGGCAAAAATTATTGCCTCAACAGCCTACGGCAAAAATTATTGCCTCGGGAGGGTCTAGGTATATCCTCAGGTTAGATGGTTCGACCCCCAAAGACTTCAGGAGGGGGCGGCCCAACGGAGCCCTAGGGGTTGAATCCCCCCCCATCCGGACACGCAAGAACCTCAGCACGTCCGGTATACGGCGAAGCGGCAGCACGTCAGGCGACGCGGCAGTTCTGCAGCCTCGGGAGGCAGGTGATGAGATCGGTAGAGATGAGCAGCAACCAACCAGTGGATGGAGAGTAGATGGCAGAGTAGATGGCACAAGTGACCAAGTTACGTATGTGCCGTATGTGTTGTTTTGCCCCGGATCCCCATCCAAAGGTCCAAAAGACGTTTGGAAGTTTAGGGGGGTAAGCCATCTACTCTGAAACCACTGTAGTTGTTCGTGCTACTGGCTGTAGGGCAGCAAAGGAACAGCTCAAGCTTCAGCAAGCAGCAGTGGTTTGAGGATAGCAGCAGTTGTTCAGTCGTAGGTACTCAGAGGATGATATGAACATTAGGCAACCATCAGAAATCCATCATTCAAAAACAGTTCCTGGAGGATTTTTAGTGGCATGAAACTGACATCTTCACCCTATGGATCCACATACCTGGCACATCTTTGCTGCGGACCTTGGCCAGGTGCTGCTGATGGCCAGACTTTGTGCCTTTGATACAGGCCGTGGCCATGCGGCGGTCTGGTCTCCCGCGGCCCAAAAAATGCGGGGTGGGCGTCCAGTCGAACGGGTTTGAACGACCTCTTACGAGCCGATGCCTATGTTGGTGGGACCATGTGGAGGACTACCCCAGGTCCAAACCTGGCCCTGAACACCTATGCAGACGAGTAGTGTGAGCTCCAACTGACCCGTAAAAAGTGACCTCTACAGAATCATTCGGATCCATTCCCTTAACAATCCTGCAGGGAAGAAACAATCCCTAGGGATCCAAGTACCTTCTCAGCAGGTGATTGGACCCTCCAAACCTACATAGCGGTGTCTCCAATCACCTGTTGAGAAGGTACTTGGATCCCTAGGGAATATGAAGCAATTGTGTTTCTTCAGGGAGTGTGCTTACTACAAAGACACGAATCTATCCCATAGAACTAAGTTATATATAAGTTGCCTTTCTCCAACTACTTACTGCTATCATCATCAAAGATCCATTGATGATTGCAGATCCAGTCTGCTAGCACCCCGGAAAGGCTTGTTTATGGACACTCCATGACACTCCTGATGGTATGTTGCTTCCAATATCTTCCAATCACCACCCAGTTTTGGGGTGGTGCTGGTCATTGATTGTATCGTATGTTCTATTTCATTGTTTTTGTGTGTGTTATTTGTTCCATGACAACTGTGTTTTATGATATGAATTCCTGAATTCATATGAATCATAATAATTGGTGTTTGTTCCCTTTGGTCTAACGCGTCGTGCCGTTCCGATGTGCGTCCGCACATCGTTCGCGTCAGCACGATACCTCGCGTCCGCAGGGCATCAGCAGTTCACGAAGTTCGATGCCGAGGCGGCGATCTGGGTGCGTTGAGGCCCTAGGAATCCAAGTACCTTCTCAGGTACGGTGATTGATGTGATGTGTTCGACACTGTTATGTAGGTGCCAAAACGTCGGGTCCAGTCGCACCGAACCTGAGAATGTAGGTTTTGAGGATCCCTAGGGAGGGAGGTGCCAGGGGGGTCGAATTCCACCGGTCTGAGGAGATGGGCCAGGGCCTTGGGGATAGGGAGGGGTTAGCCTCAGGACCGGAATTTTCCCTACAGCACCTGCTCACAGCACTGGGAACATATGTGCTAGCATGCTCTTTTTACCCTAAAGGTCAGGAACGGACCTCATGGAATACAGGAGTTGGTCATAGAACAACACGAAGAAGAGCAGGTACAAGAGCAGGTCTTGACTAGCATTTTGACATACATGGCGTGGTTTGAGGGGTCAATGTCGGTAAATATTCCATACATGGAGTGGGTATGTATACTACCTGGAGTCGACCCGTTCGTTTCTTGGAAAGTGGGTGCACTTAAGTATCTGGAGTCTCAGTTTGTACCTCGGAAAATGGGTACAGTCGTACCTGTTTTTGTATGGCGTCATGTCCCATATTCTAAGGTACTTTGGAGGGTCCGGGTAGCTATAGGGTCATGTCCCATTTTCTAGGGTATTTGAAGTCGGGTCCAGGTACGCCTCCAAGTACTATACTTTTCCTTTGTGAAGTACGGGGGCATTCCCTTTCAGGACCCTTCTTTTTGTTTGAGACTCCCATGGGGTATGTAATTATGAGCAATTCTTGTCGCAAAAAGACGCATGGGCACTCGATTCCATGATATTCCGTTTGACAAGGCCTAGGAGTGATCATTTAATATCTTTTACAGTGGTTTCAGAGGTTCGATGGCCACACCTAAAGCTGTCTTAGACAGATGGGGGTCTATATATAAACCACCGAACTTGGGGGTTGTGCCATCCAATTCCTCCGACACCACTGCCGTTGTGCCACCAAAGAGTGCCAATCCCCTCGACACGATCTCTATCTCTCGATCGACCTTGCGGCGCGGGTCTTTCTGACCCTACCCTAAGAATCCGGGCCCTCAAACAGATAGGGTTTGGGAACCGGGCCCCTTTTCCCCCTGCGTTTCGGTGTCGGGATGTGTCGGGTCCGACCCCTGCCATGGAGGATGCCCATTCGGATTGTTAGGGGATCCGTTTTCGTCTCGAACCTCAGGTTCGGTGGACCCTCGACCTACATGTCCACATGTGTCGTCTCTGTCCTCACAGGTTCGGTACGACCACGGAGCCCTAGGGCTGAAGCGACTCGCCGATGGCGCCATCCCCAAAGAGGTGCAGATGGACGATCTGGACCTCCTGAATCCATGGTCTTTAGGAATCCGACAAGTCCAGTCTGACCCAGGTCCAGTCTCCTGGTCGACTTGACCTCCTTAATGTGGTTTTGTATGACCATCTCCCAGTAAAATGAGGTCTTTGACTTGTAGGGGTCGTAACTAAGACCAAAAAGACCTTCCACTTGCACGCCGGAACTGCAACGCCCAACAGAAACGGCGCAGTTCCGCCAGGAGCGCAGCTGCCCACCGCACCTGCAAAGCTCAGACGAACTCATCGCCTTACTCACTGCGTTCCACACCGCGTGACGCTCCGTCGCTCCGTGGGTCCATGCCACGCGAGTTCACCGCAGAACTGCGGTCCCAGTGCTCGGAGTGCGGTGTGGAAAAGGGTCGTCCAGCAGTCGGAGTGCGGTGTGGCTCCAGCTGCGGCACTGGGGGGCGGAACCCCCGCGGTGGGGATGGCCTCCTTCCGAACTTCCGAACGCCGTGCCCATTGGGGATCCGTCTTCGTGCCGAACCTCAGGTTGGACGTCAGGTCTTCGACGCTCTTCGACATGTAACATGCCAAAAAGTCACGTCGGGTCATTCGTCAGGACCGAACCTATCAGGTTCATCTTTCGACTGGTGGAGTCGTTAACGTTCGTACTTCGGAACATGGGATCCAGTCGTAACCATGCCCCGACTCCCACGGGACTGCCGGACTGCCGAGAGTTCCGGCCAGGGGTGGTGCCACGGGGGGGGCCAAACACCAATGGGGTGGCATATATGGCAGTCCCATGGAGTGTTTGTTGGTGTGTGCACTTTTTCTCCTCTGTGGCGTGTGGTGGGACACTGGGCGGTGCGGATCTGGTTTTTTTGGGGGGGTGAGTTGGTGTTCCAGTCGGCGGGCGACATGGGTTTGAAACATGGTGTTGCTGTAACTTGGTGATGGTTGAGTCGATGATCATGTCAGCTCTACAGGGTCTTCCGGGTGGTACTCCGGGCATGATTGTCATCACGCGGTGGCGGTGTGCCGGTCGGAGCGGCACCTATTCCATGGGGTGAATTCATACATGGTTTTACAAGGGGGCTTTGCGTGACCTGCGAGTGGCTTGGTTCTTTTCCATGGCCCCTTGTTTTGCAACATGTCCTTCTAAACGATCGTAACGGTATGATCTTCACCCTTCCTGAACGATCTTTTTTTTTCAAACCCTAAGGATCATTAGCCCTTGCTATGGAGGGTTTTGACCCTGCATAGCAGGGGTTTGGACCCTCAAAACCTTCACCTTTGAGGGTCCTTGATCCTTAGGGAAAGATGTTTTGTGCACGTCAATGTGGTTTCCACAACCAACTTCATGATGGGCAGATGAGCGAATCGATTGATTTTGTGTGATGCGCAGATCGTTTTTTTTTTTTTTTTCGATGTGCAAAAAGTAACGTACTACTGAACTCATTGAACTGCGTCCTGCTAGAACTTCTGGCGGATCAATGCCAAAGACCCTATTTAAGTACTTGTTGTACTAATTCCTAACGCTTCGCCGTTTGAATCTGGCTCGGGGCGGTATATGATGGATCGTTTGCTGCATGACAAACACCTGCCTTTGGGCTGCTTGGGTGTCGTCTACTGGTGGACGGCGGTGTTTGGGCAGGATGTAAGCATGGCGTGTGCCCACATGTCACGGGGGTTCCTGGGGCACGGTCGAGCTCTAGATGCTTGATCCTGACGCAGATCACTTCAAAACAGATTAACATACGCTGCGGACACTCTTGAGAAGCGCAAGACACAAGCCGCTGCAGTGCCGGAAAGCGCCGGCACATAGTAAAGCACCAATGTTGATGATCCTGGCTGCAATGCCGGAAAGATCATTGTTCAGTGCTTGTGATTGCTCGACCCTCCAGCAGAGCACTCTGCACAGGTCGTTGAAAGATATAAGACGTTATAAGATGTTGGACGTCGCTCATGGATGCTCATCGTTTCATAGATTTGGGTCCAAACCCCTGCGTTCTGCAGGGTCAAAACCCTGCATAGGAGGGTCCAATGATTCTTAGGGATCAATGTGGTGTAGACTCTTGATGAATCCAACCCCCCAAGCCTGAAGAGGTGTAACCGAACTGTCGGCCTGCCACCCGGCCCCATCATCATCCACTGGGCCCAGCTAGACTCGGATAGACCCAAGAGAAGCAGGTGCGTTTTTTTCAGATGGTTTTTTGTTCACAGAGCATGGCACTTCTTCACTGGCCGAGCCAAGCCCCCATGGAGCCCACAGGGTCGCCAGGAGCACCGCAGCTGGGCCAAGCGGCTTTCCGGGCAGGCGCCGCATCGGAAGGACCGGCAGTTGGGCCTCCACGAAACGGGTGAACAAGGAGGTGGACCCTACCAGTCCACCAGTCCAAGGAGCAAGTTCATGGTCCTTGATTTCGTTGAGATATGGGTTTTTGCATGACCGGGACCCAGGAAGGTGATGAGAACCCTTGACCTGTAGAGCCTGCATAGGGCTATGATGCGGGAATGTGAAAAGTGTGGTGCTCCCCTCGGCCAATCATTTACATCTCCCCAAAGAATCAAACTGGAACATTGGCCAATGAGGCCAGGGGTGGTTTTGAGTGTTGCCAGTGCTGCCATCAACCAGAGATGGAGAGATAGAGGGTGCAAAGAGGTTGACCGTCATCGAGCTGTTGCGAGCTGTTGACTGGCAGCGACTGGGAAAGTCCAGGCTTGGGAGTTCCCAACCACTGGAGGAACCGTTGTTCTTCCGAAACTGGGGGAGTGGTGAGGGACTGAGGGACACTTCCCCCAGTTGGTCCTCCTACCTTCGATCCACTCCCGGGCCAGTTCTTTCAGCCCTGCCGGGTGAAGAGGGGAAGATTGAAGAGGGTGGACATGCTCATCCACTCACTCCCTACAAGTCCAGTCTGACCCAGTAAAACCTGGTCGACTTGACCTCCTTAAGTGGTTTTGGATGACCATCCCCAGTAAAATGAGGTCAAACTGACCTTGTAGGGACTGGATGGGGCTCAAAATCACCCAACTCCATGTGACTGGAGTCATCGTTCGAGAACGTCGGGCACCCGCACGCAAAATTGCCGTCGGAGGCACCACGCACGTCACAGCTATAGTGGAAAAGAAACTGCTTCAAAGCGGCTTTGGGGGACCTACATTAACAGAAATTGGGTCACCTCTACTATACCCTCAACTACTAGGGTCTAGAATGGCTGACCCTCCAGGGTCCGACATGGCCAGTTGTTGAGGGTATCCTCTACTGACATCAATTCCTCTCATGACTCAGAGAGTTGTGACTACTCAGAGTTGTTGACGGTCCTGTGACGCTTCCGCGGCAGGCGTTTCCGCGGCAGCATCGCCAGGCGCGACGCGATGCTGTGTCCTCACTGCGCGAGTGGTAGCCAGAGTGGAAGGTGCCAGTCTTTGTATGGCACTGGCACGTGACTTACCGTCATCCTGGAGTGGATTTGGTGGGAATATTGCAATTAAAGAACATAGTTAATTAGGAAACGGGTCAAGTGTTTGGATTGGTTCATATGCTCACTCATGATCAGACAGGTCTGACCTCACTGGTGGACATGTTGATGAACCGGTTATGGAAGACGTCTGAAGAACGTCACCAACTTGAGCAGTATCATCAGCCTACCCACAAAGTATGTGGCCCTCTCAACAAGAACAGATGGAAAGTACAGTTAATCCTTGCCTGGAGGTCCAGCCCCGACAACATCCTTTTCGCAATATTTTTGCATGGTCAACTCCAGATGAGGTCCGTTCCTGACCTTGCACCAGGCCCCCCTGTGACAGAGGTGAATTTTTCACACCCATGAACACCCCGAATGGCCACTGGGCCATTCTTGGACACTCCTTATCGTGGTCCCCAAATAGGATTGCATGGTGTCCAAAACATTTTCTACGTGGGGATCTACGAACTTCTATCTATGACAGGGGGTCTATATAGCGCCTGGTAGGGTTTCTTTTTCATGAATCGATCCTCCCGCACGGACATGGCGACTCCAAACGCGGCGGCGCGGCTTCATCCCGGGGCCTTCGCACTTCGCTCTGTGAGGAGGCATCGGTTTCATCGCGAGTCCAACAGGTCAGGAGGTACAAACATGTTGAACAATTGCGTGACTTTTGGACCAACCCAAAAGATGTGTCCTTCTCAGATGGGACATTCGTCTGAGAAAGGGGTTGATGAAAACCCTATCAAAGCAGTGGTGTCCTACCAAAGCAGTGGTCAAATGAGTTCTGGGGACTGCAAATCAGGGTTCTTTTGGGCTGCGGCCATTGTCCCATCGAGCCTTCCAATAATTGAATACACAAAAAACACAGACATCAACGAAGAAGTCATTTGCCCTTATTTGCCTATAGTGGTGCCGTTGAATTTCATTCCACCAGTGTGAGGAACACAGTCGCTTGACATACTTTAAGCACTGTCATTTTCACCTTAAGAAGTGAAGGCTATACACTACAGCAAGACACCATTTTGGGTGCTGATATCAATCCTAGCTGCCCTTTTTCGCTGTGTTCCATGTCCGATGCCTGGCCACCCAGACTCCGAAGCTTTTTCCAAGCACGCCTCAGTGAGCTTCACATCACCGACGTGCATCCCTACCTCAGCGCCCTCGAGCAGGTCGCTCAAGAAGAACTCATCGCTGAAGGCCTTCGCGCCGAAGCCACCTCCACATCGGAGTGCGGCGAGGTCGAGCGGTGCTCCCATCGCCGTGCCGGTCAACGCCTGCGTGAGCTGGGCCTGCTCTGGTTGGACGCCCTCCGCAACCCGCGTCCCGCCGCGGAAGAAGGTCCGTCACCGGAGCAGCTGCGGCAGCTCCGGGCACGCCAGCGGTGCACGAAGGAGGCGTTTGAAGCACAGGAACGGATCCACCGGGCGTTGCGGGAGCGAGGGGAGCTGCGGTTGACGGAGGATGAGTTGGAGATGTATTCCAACTGTGCGAAGGTGGTTGGGTCGAAGAGTTGGAGCCAGGCCACTGTGCAGTGGGTCTTGGATGAGTTGGATGAAACGGGCGCAGGCGAGGACGCTCGGCTTTTGGATGTGGGTAGCAGCTATGGCGCTTTTCTGAGCTACTTGAAGAAGTCAGTGGCACTTGATTTGGCGCCAGCTATACCTGGCGTGTGGCGGGGAGACTTTTTACAGCTAGAGATCAAGGAGAGAGAAGGGTTTGAAGGTGAGGACTATGAAGTTGATGAACATGGTGAACTTCAAAGCCTCCGGGCTGGAGCCTTCGACGCGGTGGTTTTAAGCTTAGTCTTATCCTTCTTGCCCACCCCACAGCTCCGGCGCGCCATGCTGGACCGTGCCCGGCGTTGCTTGCGGGAGGATCCCCCTGGGTCTTTGTTTGTGATCGAGAAGACGTCCTTGATCCCACGCGACGTGCAGGAGGGGCGCCTGGCGCGGCAAGCTTTCCAAGAGGCCTTAGAGGCTGCAGGTTTTCAAAGCCAGACGTTTCTTGGATCCTGCAAATTTCTGTGTTCATGAGTTTGATTGATAGTTTGTTTGATTCATGTAGAACCTTGATTAATAACCCTCCCCCCTTTAATATGTGATGTTTTCATTCATCATCAAGATTCTACATTGGCTTTTGGGTCGTACGCATGTGTTGGTGCAGTAAGCCTAGTCTTCGATGGTCGGCACCGTGGGAGACTGCCACCACCGTGCCGTGGGAGACACCCTTAGAAGACACCCTAGAAGATTGAGTCACCCTTGTCACAGACGGATTTCAGTTGAGACACCCTAGAAGATCAAGGAACCTAAGAAGCATTATACCCCTGGATTGTTAAGAAGCCCTGGATTAGAACCACTTAACCATTAAGTGAATGAAGAACCCCTGGATTTTTGGTAAGAATACCGTCTTCCAAATGGTCTATCTTCCAGGTTGGTCTCGCAACCGGGGTGAAACCGGGGGAATTGGTCACTCGGGAGCAGGAGGTGAATCTGAGCATACCTCGGCTCACTTGGTCATGAAGGATGAATATGGATGAAGAACCTCATCTCTCAGCAATCGTATGCCGTATGCAGGATGTGAACCTTTCGGTTTTGCACCCGGATGGGTTGAGAGGATGGGTTTATCATTGTTTCCCTAGGGATCCGTTTTCGTACCGAACGTCAGGTTCGGTACGACTGGACCCGACGTTTTGGCACCTACATAACAATGTCGAACACATCACCGTACCTGAGAAGGTACGACTGGATCCCTAGGGTTTATTCGTTTAGCTTGTCTAAAGACCGCCCGAGCAGAGGCCACGGATCATCGCACCACAGCACGATACGGCACCCCAGCAGCCGAGGTTTCTATCGTTGGGGCAACTGGATGGAGAACAGAGACCTCATGCTCATGCCTGGCACCTCCGCACAGCACCGGCTCGCTCCAGTTCGCCCTTGCCCCACTTCAAGGAGGATGCCTCCGCATCAAGGGATGACTGCGCTGGATCGGAGATTCCGGCAGGATCACGGAACAAAAGGCGTTTTTGGTGCGTTTGGGCACTGGGGTGGGGTGGTGGTTTCAGATCGATATTTAATGATATTTCTGTGTTCAACCTTTACTTGGTATGATTGAACCCACTGAGCTCCATATATTCGTTTGTCTTCGTTGAAGCCACCAGTCGCAGAGTCGCAGATCAGGAGGGAATCGAAGGAAACACGACGAACGGCGATGCTTTTTGTCACCGGAGATGCCAGATGCTCAGGTTGGACGAAGTCGGACACGTGGGACCTGGGACACGTGAGTCACATGGCTGGCCTACCCAGGAAGTACAGTGGATCACTTCTTTGGGGGGAGTGGTGGGCACCCCACTAAATTAGCCATTGACAGGGGTGGAAAGTACGGTTATACCCACCCCAGGCCCACCTTCACCTCAGGAGGGGTTCCGTTCCTCCTGCCCGGAATCGGTGCCCAGGTCCAGACATCCCGAGGAATGCGTGACGCCGCTGAGAGACCACAAGAATCGGTGCTGCGAACGACGAAATCGATTCCCAGACAGGTCGTTTTTGGGGGATAGTGGTCCCCAGAAAGTGGCACGGCTTCCAATTCATGGTGAACGTGGGGGAATCTATAGATGTTCTTTCTATTTGGTGGTCGGGGTGTGGGTCAAAACCTCATCCAACAAACCATGGAAGGTCACTTATAGGATCTTATACTCCCTAGGGATCCAGTCGTACCGAACGTCAGGTTCGGTACGACTGGACCCTCCAAACTTACAGAATCAGTGTCGAACACATCACCATACCTGAGAAAGTGCTTGGATCAGGTGTCGAACACATCACCTTCATAGTAAGGGATGAACAAATGCCAGTCCCATAGTAAGGGATCCCTATAGGAACTGGCATTTGTTCATCCCTGAGACGATGCTTCGCTTCAGGACCTTGGAGCGCTGACCGCCAGCGTTTTTGGTTGACACGTTTTTGCTTCGCCCAAAGCCTGACTCATAAGCTTTCTGAATGGTCACTAGCCAGCATGTTGCTGTTGGACATTGTTAGGTGGACTGAAACCAGGTCGTCTATTCGGTTCATGTTCGAGGAGTAGAAATGTCAAGTGGCCAGCTCTTGCGAAAGTAACTGGACCCACAGGAGGTTTAAGTGGTTGATGATTTCAATACTGTTGTCCTTCTAGCTCTTTTTGGTTGAATGGCTCCCTATGGTTGAGGGAATTTCACCACTTTACAGCCTGACAACCCGCATTTGTACTGCTCCAACATTCACTGTCATCATCGCTGTCAGCATGACAAAGGTGTTTTCCGCTCTCCAGGTGCCAAGACCCACCAGCCATGTGCCCACCTAAACCCTAAACCCGAATGCCATGCGTTGGGCGGTGCTTTAGACAGATCTTGGGAATCGGTTCAGAGCTGAGAAAACACCCAAAGTGCGGCTTGCAAAAAGGCCGCGAGGGGGCTTGCTGATCTTCTTGTGTGTGTGAAGTGATGTGACCAGTCACAAGCCGTTGGGACTGATTGGGAACTGGTTCTTTCTCCAGAACAGCACCTAGCAAGGAGAACCCAAAGATTTCAAGGATGATGTGTTTTAAGGTATTTTGAAGACTTTAGCTGGATAGAAACGTTGCCAAATACATGCTAAAGAGGTATGAGAGCCTTTGTTTATCTATTGAGTCTCCACAACATTGGCCTGACACACCAGGCTGTGCACGAAGCTTTGTCAAACTCTTACGGATGCCATTTGTGCTTGCAGCACAGGGGCTTTGGCACACATTTGGGTTCACAGAGTGCAGAGAGACTATTGAGGATCCCCATTGCCTTGGGCAAAACCTTCCCCACCGCGATTGGCTTACTTTCGCAGCCGCAAATGGAGGGAAGTTGCTACCCCCCTTGCAGACAAACATGGACCGTGAACATGGACCAGTGGCCTATTTCTCATTGTGGTCGGTGGTCTACGCCCCTGGGTCGCCAATTCGTCAGCGGTTATAGATCATGCCTCTGGAGAAGTTAGGCATCTGTGTCGGAGACGCATTTTGTCGCGCCGGAGAAGCCACCTGAATCACATGCAGCAAGACGCCGAAACGTAAGGTGCAAAGACTAATTACTTGTTTTGTCCGATAGAAACTGGATGTGCCATGGTCCCTGTGCTTGAGCCAAACCGAAGGGCCTTGGATGTGGGCAAATGTGGGCCAGGGCCTGGGATGCTCCGGTGTAGCTGGGGACAGGTTCCAATGTGGTGCTCCGTGTAGGAGAACTTGGATACCTTGAATAAACTTGCTCGTATTGTGATTGAGCATTTAGTTTTAGTGTGAGTGTGTGTGTGTGTACACAAATCTCGGATAGGTGTCTCATGGGTTTAGGAGGGTTTGAAGCAGCCCAAGATGAGTACACAGTTCCGTAGTGCAATATTTAAACCCTATGGATCCACATACCTTCTGAGAAGGTGATTGGAGACTATCTATGTAGGCTTGGAGAGCCCCACATGCCTTCCGAGTCGAGTCGAGTCGACCGCGAGTCGAGTCGCGAGGCCCGAAGTGCTCATCTCTCCCAAGTGGCCTTAGCCTGCAGGAGTTGACATCGACTCAGGGGGGGCCAGTCGCCTGCTAAGGGCTTCACCGTCGCTTACGGTCACTTGCTGAAGGGGGACGAGCCAAGACAAACTCGCACATCCAGATCTGGAGCGCAAAAGGCTAGCGGCTAGCAAAAGAAGCTGAGTTGGAAAGCTTTCCAAAATGGAAAGAACAGAAGTGTTCCAAAGCATCATCCTGTTTTTTAGATATGTGACTGTGGAAGCATGCAAGGGAGGAGATTGTTCCAAGATGGATTGAGTTAGAACCATTCCAAAGAGTCAGATGGTTTTTACGCCAATGCGATTTCTACAGAAGTCCCTACCAAGACTGATCTGTACTGACCCTGAGAAAAGGGTCAATTCTTTTGTTTCGACCCCAGGAGTCACTTGTGGTGGACCTGAAAATGGTCGAAGTGGACATCTCCTGTATTTGGTATTCAGAAAATGGATCAACATGGTGCATTTTTCAGGGGTGATGCCATCCACGTAACCATGAGAAACACTTATTTCATGTTTGTGTTTCCAAACCGCGTGGTCGCACATCGGGGGTTCTTGCGGTAGTGGTCGCACGGCCAGCATCTCGGGGTAGTTGACGTATATAACCGCCAATGGGGCGGCGTGTTTGGTCAGGGTCCTGTGCTTGGTTTTTCTTTCTACCAGGACCATCCTGGACCTGGGTGCCCTGTCTCAAAACCGGTAGTGTGGGGTAGTCGAATGCCAGGACACCCAGCTCCAGGATGGTCTACATCTTTCTCGTCCTTCCTCGTCCTGCTTTGGCCGATCGGGTGAGTCTGTTGGTTTTCCCTAAGGATCCGAGTCCGGACCCTCCATGGGGGGTCGGGGTTCTTCACCCCTCTAGTTCACAAGGGTGACAGGGGCCCCGAACCAAACCCTTGTTTTGTTTCGGATGCGGATCCTTAGGGTTGGTTCCTTTGGCAGATCCAAGTCTTTGACAGGGCCCGGTGATAGTCTGTGCACCATGTTTATTGAACCTGCAGGAAGAAGAGGGCAACATGGCCGCAGGCCGGTGGCCCTGGCAGCTATGCTGTGAATGCGTTGCTTTCAGCATCCGCACATGCCCACACCAAAGGTACTGGAGCAATGCTACAAACATGTGGATGAAGCAAGAGGGGTTGTGGATGGGTCGAGCAAAGGAGTCCCTACAGGTGAACTGGACCTCATACTAGTATGACTAGGGTTGATCATACAGAAACACTACGTACTCAATGAGGTTTTCAGGACCAGGATAGGGAGTGAGAAGTCTACGGCATGGTAGTGTTGTCTCTCCCATTCTTCACTGAGCAGTTCCTCGCCGTCAGCTGGCTAAAGCCTCAGCCGTCAGCAAAAGTTCGGGCTGCAGGCAGATGTTCTCAGATACTGGAACGGCATCCTTTCCTTGGCGCGTTTTGACCGTCGTTCCGCCCCGAACCTCAGGATCGGGATCCATGGCTGGGCTATCATATTGGTTTGCCCAGACGCGACCCTGGACCCGAATCCTTTGCAGGGGTCGGACCCTCATATGGAGAGGTCGGACCCTCAAAACCCTATGGTTTTGAGGGACCCAAGGGCTGTGAACGGAGCGTCTGGGTGTAAGATTCTGCCCTAAGAATCAAGGACCCGACCCGTGGTTCGGTGTTCGGGTCCCCGTTTGGGACCTGTGGTCAAGTCCAAACCCTCCAGAATTGGTCAGGTCCAATGATTCTTAGGGTGTAAGATATAAAATAGGGAGACACTCCCAGACAACGACCCTCTAGAAGAAGGAAGATTGACCAAAGCCTTTTTCATACTAATTTTCCCGGTGTTCCTATTAAAATACACACCCAGTTCCACAGCCAAGCTGTGTTGAGTCCACCCACACCCAAAGGGGCAAGCCCTCGGCCGAGATTGGTTCCGAGGCCCTGCAGATTTGGGCGCAGATGGCTGAGAGGTGCGCGAAGGACCTGGACGTGGTGGATGCTGGACGCTCATTCGGTCAAATATGGCGACCTGGAGCGCTGTGAGTGAGTTCACGTTGGGTGAGTTCTGTTCGTAGCGTCCGATCGCTCCTAGTAGTAAGGCCAGGAGCCCCTAGTATAGCGTCCACGTAAACAGATGCCAATCGTTCATGTCACATGATGCTACATGTAGCATTTGGGGCTGGGTGTTGAACCTCATTCGCAATTCTGAGTGGGGCGGCAGACAGCACGAGGTTGCAAGTTTCTTTGGCTCTCATCCACCGCTCACGGGTGCGTTTGTCGAATTTCCTCATGGCACCCTCTCCTGTATGTAACAGCTTGTGTGGCCAGATACGGCCGTGCCACCCGTTTCGCCCGGAACTCACCGTAGGTTGACTGAAACCAGGTAGTTTGTTCATTCTTGGTGGTCAAGCCAGGCCTCCCAAGTCAATCTGCCCCCCTAGCCAACCATATAGTGATGCCCAAATAGATAGTGGCACGGTTTCCAAGACATTCTTAGGTGAGGATGATCTACTATTCATTACTGTTCTATCTATATTTGGGGTCTATATATGATATGGAAAATACTTAACTTACCCCAGGTGAGGGGTGAAACCTCAAGATGTTCTCAGGGTCAGCCATGGCCCCTGGCGGCTGGACAGAAACGCGTGTGTTTATTTTTACTTCACCTTAGTTCCCCAGACACTCCATGTATGCCATATATGCCTACATTGGGGTGGTTTGGGGGGTCAATGTAGGCATATATGCCATACATGGAGTGTTTGGGTTCTGGATGGTCCGAATTTACGCCTACTCCACCGGACCCTTAGAAACCCTTAATTAAATCCTTTTGCTTTAGAAGGGCTTTCTACCCAGACACTCCGTTTTCACGACGCCCAAATCGATCGGTCCCGAACCAAACGGGGGTGAGAGTCTCCCCTGACTCCCCCTGACCAGTTCTGAGACCTTGGGGCCGGTCTGGGGTCGTGTCTAGGTCAACCACTACTGCATGCTTTAATTTAAGTTTTACTTCTATCTATCTTCAATTCTATATTCTAATTATATTTAGTTGATGGAAAGCATGTATAGAGCATAGCATTCCTTGACGTCTTCTCATGCATCATGTGTCACTCATCATTTTGCCTACGCGACTTTGTATTTGGCTCAAGCACTGCGGAAAAAGGCGTTTGCGCGTGGTGCTTGCCGTTGCTACTAAACTACCAACTTTGGCTGTGGTTGGTGAGTTTAACTGGTTAACAGCCTCAGCTATTGCATTTTCATATTCGTCATAGGATAGCTTTGAGCTAGCTTTCCTGTGGCAACCCCGCCACTGCTTGTGAGTCTCAATACCTGGATCCAACATCGAGTTGAAAGGGTCCTTCTTGGGATAAGCACGTAGTGTGATTTCGGCATCCATTCGTTCGTCAGGCTGCCGTCAACAGAAAGCCGAGTTTCAGTTCCAAGGACTGCATTTCGGGCCGTGGGGCGTTGCTTCTTCAGCAACACCACTTCGTAGGATAGGATCCGAGTTAAATCCATATTGGAAGAGACTAGTTTGATCGCATCGTAAGATAGCCTTCACTAGCTCAAGGTCAAAGATCAACTAAAGTGCAGAACTCATAGAGTAAGGAGCTTAATTGGTGCATTTTTGCCGATCCCTGGTGCTACACCCAAAGGTTTGCATTGGTGTGATCTTAAGCTCATTCATTGAAAGAAGCAAGTCGTATTCGTTGCATTGGATCAAAGGAGTTAGCTACTCTTGTTTCACTGCACGCCACCTCGTTCGCTGTTCGGCGTTGAATGCGAGCTCGCTCTCGATCCCCTGCTGTCGCCGCTGGCACACCGCTTCAAGACGTTGGCAGGCGGCTCAACGAAGCTTTAGATCGGTACAAGAAGGTCAAAGCTGAGAAGCGAGCAGGAAAAGATTTCCAGAGACGCCGCAAGTCGTTGGTCTTGACAATCCTTGAATATTACATTCATCTTGTGCAGATCGGTGTTGCTGCATCAAACGGAGATAGAAAGTATATCAGGCGATTGAATCAGGCTCAGGAGACTTTCAGATTGGCGAAGGAGGAGAACAAGTTGCCTTTGCGATCCGAACCAATTCTCCCTCGAGTGGAGGACGACGACGATCTTGAAAGCCATTGTGCTGAGAGCGTCTATCAGCCACTGTCGGAGGACGAACAAGAGTTGGAGCAGGACTTTGAGGGACCTCTCGTTCCACAGGGAGCTTCAGAGTCTTCTTCAGTTGTTCCGGTGCCCATTGCATCTTCAGTGACCGGTAGGCCGGCGGAGACATTGCTTGCGTTGCCAAAGGCGATAGGATCAAGGCCAGTGTTTTCGCGGTTGTCACAGAACTTGCATTCCGCTCCGAGTGTTCTTCCGGATCCGCCTAAGAAGGCAAAGCCAGTGTTGAAGACAACTTCAAAGGGTAGTTTGCCCCAGAAGGCAATACCGCCAGTAGTGTTGCAGACAACACCAAAGGTGCGTGCAGCAGCAGCATTACAGACGACACCAGAGGTATATTTTCTTTATTCCCGATTGTTGTCCGTGACACTGAACCGATTGATTGGCACTATCTTGACGCGAACAGGGTCGAGTTGTACAGTGCACAGGGTCAGAGGATTCGTCCGGCGAGCCGCATTGATCTTGGAGGCACTGCAGTGTCATAGACTTTCACCAGGTGTTGGACACATTTCGTGAGGGGAGCTACGCGACATATCCGACTGCGGAAGAGAACGGTGTTCCGGCTAAGTCTCGAGCAGCGATTGACAGATTGAACCGATTGGGGTTCAGCACATTGGTGACTTCATACGTGCATTCGAACTGGAGAAGAGATTGCGTGTTGAATTCTTCACGGACACTTCCCGTCCGCTACATCTTGATCACTCGAGAACCGACTGGTCAGGGTGGAAAGGCAGACAGTCTCGCGAGGATCTTCACTGTTGGGAGAGACAGGTCGATCATCCACGTGGACGACAAGAAGGAGATCTGTGTTGAGTTCAAGAGGTACTGGAATCGGGACATAGGGATTGCTCACATCCAGGTACCTCGCAAGCCTCGGCCGGAAGGTGTGAAGTCATTCAAGAACGTTGATCGCGTGGCAGAGGCACTGGAGCAGGAAAAGGCTGCTCAGGCCGGATATCATCGACGCTAGTTGGTGTGCGCTCTCTATTAGGTTTGTGATTTGTGGAATTTGTGGTTGAATCCAGCTTGAAACATTGTTCAAACAATTTGACTTGAGCTGTGGCAGTCCCATCGATTTCGCAATCATATTTGCATCAAGAGTCCATCAACTAAATCACAAACGAGAACGTGGCCGTTCCTTTCGAGGGACACCGCATTGCAAGGTGAATCCCAGTCCGCTTCGCGCGCCAAAAGTGGGATCATCCAAGGGTCAGTCTGTGCGAACCATACTTCACTTGTAAAGCAACTGTTGTAGTGTAGCATTTTTGCTCGTGTTCCCGATTGACATGCCGCAAGTATCAGAAATCATGCCAAATGATCCAACAGGAATGGAGGTTTCAGCCGAGTCATCATCACTGCAAATTTCGAGCACGTCCCCAGAGCCTGTCCAGAGTAGAGCCATGCAAGTGAGGAAAACCTCCACGAAGGGTAGTCGATCGTCTAGTGCAAGTTCACAGAAGTCATTGCCCCCCGTACAGCCTACTCATCGGAATCGGTTTCAGGGTGTGTTGGCAGATCAGCAGAGTTCGATACGAAAGTCATCGTGCAGTTCGAGTGTAAGCGGTTCGGAACAGTCCCACCGTGGCCCAGGGTCGGAACCAAAGGTTGAATTTCAGCATCACCAGAGCATCTTTGATCAAAGAACTTTGAATGTTCACGTTGGTGTTGATCCGTCCCAAGTGTTGCAGTTGCAAAGCAATGCGCAGTCACAGGTCCATGCACTTGAACAGCAGGCTAGGGAACATGTTCATGCGGTCGAAGTTCAAGCATTAACACATGTTCAATCCGTTGAATCCCAGGCTCAACAAATGGTGAGTGCGGTTCAGTCGGAAGCCAGTGCAACCGTCCGGGAGAACCAGGCCAATGCACGGATAGCCATAGATCGTGCCAACTCGAGGGTAAGCCAATTGGAATCCCAAGCTAGTGATGTGATTCATCAAATGCAATTGAAACATCAAGCCGAGATTTTGGAACTTCAGGATACTGCCCAAGAAGCTCATCTCCAATCCCAACAGCAGATCAATCAGTTGATGACACAGTTGTCGATTCAGAGTAGGCAGTTGGATGAACAAAGGGTTGAGCAACGGGAACTGCACAAAACAATCAAAGTGTTGCAAGAAGAGGTGACCAATCTCCGGCGTTCGAATGAGATGATGCAGCAACAATCCCAAAATGGCACGGGTGTTGACATTGCCGAATTGATGGCAACGATTCATGACCTCAGGAAAGATGTCAAAGAGGCAGTCAGTCCAAAGAAGGGTGAATCGAGATTGCATTTTCCGATTGCTCCGCCTCCCGTTCCTATGTATGGTCAGGGTGAAGCCTATGAAGCTACTGAATATGCTTGTTCAGCATGTGCCGGTTTCGATCCAAGGATGACAACATCACCACCTGCATCCAGGGTCCGTGAACCAAAGTCCCAAGTGTCCAACCAAGGGTATAAAACACCAGGGTCAGGGTCAGGATCAGGGAACATCCCATGGTTTTCCGTCTCCACGACAACTCCAACCGTCAAGCCAACAGGATCTCCGTCATCAGGGGGGTCGAGCAGCGACACGGAGGATGGTGGTTGGCCAAATGGGCCACCAGGAGGGGGTCCCGGAGGGGGTGGCAGTGGTCCTTCAGTGCCCGATTCGCCACATGGTTTAGGTCAGAGCATTGGAGTAGGATCGAATGTTTTGGGTTTCATCACTGAAAAGGATGTATATCGGTCGAAGGACTTATCTCTCATCAAAATAGATTATATCCCAACATCGGCTGCAGATTTTCGAGCTTGGAAAAACACTCTATTGACTCGAGTCGCTGC